TCCACTCCGGCTACAGTACTCCACACGCCTTGCTCCTCCTTGTCTTCCTCCGCCTCCTTCGTCGGCTGAAGCAGGAGAAGAAACCATGGCTGATGCAATCGCACTCATCAACCGCCGCTATAGGGCAAACGACCAACGATGGAAGGCAGAGAGAGAGAGAGAGAAATACTCCGACATATCCCGCGAGCGACCCAACCAACCTGTTGCCGTGCGGCTTATCTGGTCAACGCAACCATTAGCCTACCAAGCTACCCCCCATTATCATAGTCACAGCCACTACTCCTGCGCCCGTCAACTCTGTTCGTTCTACTTTACGGTTGCCCATGGCATCAGCCTAGCCACTTACGCCTCGTTGAACGTCAAGTTACCTCAGTGGCCGTTAATCCACCTCCACGGCCGAAGAGCAGCCAATCAATGGTGGCATCGTGTCGGAATATGAGTGATAAGGTGGTGATGGCTAGTTGTCGCCAGACATCTTTCGACAGGTCGAAAACAGAGCAAATGAACGCGCGATACATCATGGCTGTTATTGCTGACCGCCAGTTGGCTGCTCCCTCCCCCCCCAAAGTGGGTTAATGAACGTGGCTTCTGTCAGATCTGCAATGGGCCTACATCTGGTTTCGTCAGAGGGCCTGCCCCGACGTGATGTCGATCAGGGTCCAACGCACTCTGACGGTCAAAGGCCCACAAAGACAGAGAGCAATAGGGAGAGAGTTTCAGCGATGTTGAGCCTGCCCGCGCGCGAATCGAATTGCTGCCGAGTAGCCCCCGCGCGCGGACCGAAGAGAGCGGCTCATCGAGTGGGTTGGCGGGCCAGGCGGACTCTTGAGGATCTCGGAAACTTCCTTAGTGGCCGTGTTGCGATCGTCGATGAGTTCCACGAAAAGATGCGCAATCACAACAATCCGGTGGCCTCATCTCATCGTGGAGAGATAGGCTGGAACTCTGGCTCGGCGGCCATGCTTCGACAGTGACCGAGATAAGGCGCAACTCCGTGGTGCGAGGGGGGGGGGGTG